CTGCGGCGGCCCGCGAACGCGGGCGAGCCGCGAGGGCGGCGGCCGTCCCGCCTGCTTGAATTTGTTTGCATGAAACCGTGGACCCTTGTCCGCGCCCACAGAGATAAAAAAACGCCCCGACTGTACCGCTCCCAGTGTGCACCACATGCGTGTGGACCGGTCCCCCCGGTGAACACCACCAGTGTGCACCTTTGGTGGGCGTCTGCAGTGTGCCCCACCGGACGTCCCCAGCGTGCACCACCCCAGTGTGCACCACCCCGTCCCCCAGTGTGCACAATCCCTTGCGTGCGCCACACTGGCCCGGGCTGCCAGCAATCTGCACCCGTTCTGGCTGAAGCCGCGCGAGTGGTTCAATCCGCGGGGCATGCTCAAGCCGCGAGGCAGGCAGGCTCTGCCGTGTCTTGCTTCCGCCCGTTCCGCTTCCACCTTCCTCTAAATCCCTTGTTCCCTCCCTCCCCTCTTCCCCCCTCCCTCCCGCCCCCATCCCCCTGCTCTTCCCGCTCCGTTCCCTTCCTTTTCCCGTTCCCCTTTGTCCTGTCTCTCCGCGTTCCCTCCCCTTTGTCCAGCCCCCCCCGTGCCAGGACCATCGCTAGCTCAAAACCTACTCTCGCAATCTAGGCGGCCGCGGGACGCCATTACTTAATGGTGGCGCTTCTCATGGCAGCGCCGGCAAAAACCGTCGATCGGGTGACAGCGCCGCGCGCCGCGCCGCGGGGGCAACCGCGTTGAACACCCCACGCGCGATCAGCAACCACCCGCCTTCATTGCGGCGCCTGCGCTGTGGCTTCTGAATTCCAGATTTCCCACTACGCGTCGTCTCTCATTCTCAACGCACAAATACCCCCCGCTCATCGCGTGAGAGCGATGTATTCCTGCCACCAAGCGTCGCGCAGTTGCCACCCCAGCGGGTTCATGCGGAAAGCGTTTACGCGCCGCCCTGGAAGCGAGGCGAAGGAACGTCCTGGTCGCGCTGGCGCCGGCAGTCGCGCGAAATCGACATGCGCGACGACTGCCGTGGTCGTCCCAGTAGGCGCGCCGAGAAACCACAAGGCGCGACGTGCGGCGACACATTGGTCGCGCAAGTAAGCCGCGACCCCAAAAATGCCCCAGATGCTCCTTCAAGAAATCAAGATCACTTCACGATGCAACCACGACGCCATCAGCCAGTTTTGGGCCGTCAGCCCCAATTCGAACACAACCAGTGATCGCAGACGGAAGAAACGTAATTTGTGGTGGGCCACGCCATACGTTAGGCATCCAAACTTTCCCCACTGGAAAGCCGTTTGCAGGTTCAACAGGATTAGCGACCAGTTAGCCAAGGAGGAACACAAGACTCACGCTTTTGAGTACCTGGAGTGTTGGCCGACACTCAGGAGGGAGATGACGCTTGGAATGGCTACGGTTACGTTGCTCGCGACGGGTGGGCGCGCATGTACACCGGGAAGCGCAGTCGCGAAGAGGAGTTCCCTGGGCCTCGCAAGCCTCGATACGCGGGAACGTTCCCGCGCACCGAGGCTTGCGAGACCCAGGGTAGAAAACGCAGTGGCCGAGGTCGACACCCGTGAGGCCCAGGATGCCCTGCGTGACAACCTGCCCCATTGAGAGTTTCCCCTCTTGCACATCCAATGTACAGTGTCCTTTTTAAGTCATGTTCCGCGTGCGGATCATGTAGTAAAACATGCGAGGAACTAGTATTAAAAACATGGATGAGTTCATGCATAAAATCATTCATAACAATTTGTCATGTATGAAAATCCTATGTTTTTAAAAAAAAAAACATATATACATATATATATATATATATATATATATATATATATATATCAAAAACTGCCCTGTATGTCGCGTGATTGACCGAGGTCATGTTCAAGTGGGTGATCATGGTATGGGAGCTGTGACAAATACCATGAATGCGGGGATGCCGCCATGCAGCTGGTCACCTTTTTTGCGCTGCCCCGTCACTCGCGGTATGCAGAATGCCGAATTCAACGTTGCTAACAGTTTGCGTTGTTTTCTGGGCGCCCTAACCTGTTAAGGAATAGCCGTGCTGTGCGTAAACACGGGCCTCACCCTTACCGTTCTCCGCAACAATGTATACAGTACCTTTTGTTTTGATATTGGGTTGGCTCCAATTTCCACCGATGGTGTGCCAATATGTATGGGACTGCCGACCCGACCTTTACCACCAGGTCGAGGGGGGGTTGTTTCAATGTAGGACAACAGGTTGTTGTGCAACCCTTGGCGCGCGACATAAGAAAACATACTAATCACCGTCAGGCGGTGTGACACACCTGCGCCCGTGTAGCCCGGTCCGCCAAAACGGAGACGCCCTGTCTTCGTCGCGACCGGTTGGAGTTGCAGGAGGATGAAGAGCAGGAGGAATCGGGGGATGCCCCGTAGGTGAGGGTGGATGTTCTTGGCTGGGCTGGGCTATCGGCGGAGACCTGGCTCGACCCGGGTTCCTGACGCGCATCACCGTTGCAGTCTTGGCGCCGTGCGCTGCCGTCGCTGCTCAGGCAAAGACGCACCCCTCTCTTCACGCGATCGCAAGCATGGATCAAGGGGTCGTGGATTAGCGACGGGTCCCCTTTCCATGGGGAATCGCGGAGTTCTTCCGCCGAGCGAGGCGGCACCAGCAGCATTTTGGGGAGGGCGCCTCCCCCGATCCATGGATTTGGCGACCGCGCGCCAAATCCATGGATCGCTAATCCATGTTTGCGCGCCCCCGATGGTTGGCGGAAGGCCTCGTCGGGGGCGGGACAGAAGGTTGGCGCACGCGGGCCTGCCTCCTGGTAGTCAAAGGCTTCGGTGAGGCGCTGGGTGTGTGTGTGCGTGTGTGTGTGTGTGTGTGTGCGTGTGTGTGTGTGTGTGTGTGTGGCACGAGCCTCCCGCGAGCTCGACAGCGCCCAAGACGCCGCGCAAAAAGCGCCGTGATCGTGCGAGGAGTGGGCGAGGGGCGGAGGAGAAGGAGACCGAGGACGAGGAGTCGAGGAACGAGGATAGGATCCGGTGATGAGGGAGGAGCGAATAGGATGGGATATGATGGGGGAGGACAGGATCGGATAGGAGGGGGAACCGAGGAACGAGGGTAGGATAGGAGCGAGCTTCTATCGAGGGTGCAGAGCCCCTCTCTTGGCCAGCGGTGGCAGCGTGGCGCCCCGTGGGCAGGGGGAGCGGGGGACGTGGAGGAGTACAGTCAAAAACCCGAATAAGGACGCGCGACTTTGCTCAGGGTACCCTTGCGTCTTTGCTCTTCCTTGCTCTTGCGGCTCGTCCTTGGCCTTTTTCTTTGCTCTAAAAATCCCAACTTCGGCTTCCAAAGGTCTTGCGTCCTTACCGCGCGTCCTTATTAGGGTTTTTGACTGTAGGGGGGGAGGCAGGAGAAAGCAGAAGAGGCAGGGGGGGAGGGTGAGAGAGGGGAAAGAGTGAAGTGGAGGGGGGAAGGGAGCCAGGCATCGCTCGGACGTGTGCATTTTTTTCCCCGGCGAGAACCGGTGAGGATGATCCTGGACCATCGAGCAAAACATACACGCACGAAATCGAAAAATGCATGGGAAATGGATGGCCGAGCAACGGCAGGGGAAGGAGTGAACTGGAGGGGGGAACGGAGGAGCAGAGCAGGAGGGGGAGCCAGAGGCAGGAAGAGGAGGGCGAGGACGAGGACGTGGTGGAGGAGAAGAAGAGTGAGGAGGGAGGGAGGAGGCTGGCAGGAGGAAGCTGGGAGGAGGAGGAGGAGGAGGAGAACGAGGACAAGGAGGAGCAGGACGTCGTTCCTTTTAACATTTCGACCCGGTCGATCCGATTCGGTGTCGCTTCTGGCCTGCATCGATCCGATTCGATTCCGATGTTCCGGCGGTTTGATGCGGCCCGATGTTCGCATGGATCGGGGGTGGACAGACCTCCTACCCTGACACGTCGATTCAGGAATTGGCCGTTTCCGGTTCGCGAGAGGGCGTCGCGGCCGTCATTTTTGCGGGTCCAGGTCCGTCGGTTTCGGTCCCAGGCCGTTTGCACTAAGGGGAGGTCCACTAAAGGGATGTTTGTCCACTGCCGAATTGAGTTGCTGTGCATCTTGGCGCGGCTGGTCCAATCCGATCATGTTTGCGTGCCGATGCAGCTAAATTCGACGCACATTCCGACTCGACTCGACTTATTGATTCGATGCTGCCTGATCTTGCCCCATCGAGTCAGAGCGCTTCAGAGAGGGGCCTCGCTTTCGAGGGGTCGATATCATGAGGATCTCTCGCCATCGGCGGACGGACCGCTGACGTAGAACGAGCGAGCCTTTGCCCGAGGGAGCTCGGCGGAAGCCGGCGAAGGGGAACTCGGATGCCCCAAGTGGGGCCGATGCTTCTAAACTCAGGGGTATCCAGAGCCAGCTAATGGGGGACCCTCGCAAGGCAAGTCCATGCCGCATCGTCTCCCGCCCTGTCGTCAGTTGTCGGGGCTGCAACGCAAACGATGTCAGCCCAACGTGTCTCCCCACTCTTCACTTTCCCGCCCCCTCCTCACCTCGTGCTCACCTTCCTGGTCCTCCAATTTGGCCAAGAGCCCCAGATCAGCGTGTTACTCTTCGGAACAAGTTCAGCCCAAAGAGTTTTTCAGCGAAGAGCCACCTTGCTTGCGTAGGAGTAGACAGGCCCTCTCACATGGACTGGATTTAACTTCATCGTGGTGGTGCTCTCGGGGATTCGGACCCATCGTATATCTTTCCACTCGAAGCACCCGGTCCCGATGACGTGTCGGTCGCCGGCTCAACTGTCAGATGCGAGCATCGTTGCTATTCCGAGGGTTGCCACGATCACCGCTTTCGGAGACATCCAGCGGCACGTCAAAGGAGCTCAGCGCTGGAAGTCCGAAGGTGGGAAGGAAGCGAGGAAGCTCCGAGTTCGTAGGGAAAGAAGGCGTGGCGAGATCCATCTTGCTGAGCGAGAGGACGGGACGAGCAGATGGGAATTGAGCGGCGGACGCCGGGAAGAGTGTAGAGCATATTGCATGAGGCGTGGGAGCGGCGCACGAACAACCACCTCAGCATGGCAGACGAGATCGTCTTCATGCGCTTCCACTTCCATTTCTACGAGGAGCGGGGGCGTTGCACATGAAAAAGGTTCTGGAGGTGGTTTCGCTGCAGCCTGTCGTGGGCCCACGGGTAGCCGCCCCCATAAATCGTCACGGGCTTTCATAAAGTGACACATGATGCCCTCGTTTTGTGTTCGGTTTGACCGTCGGGCTTTAGGCTGATGTGTGTTCCGTACTCAGATGCGTCAGGGCGATTCCTTCTTCCGATCTGCTCTGCGCGCCTCAGTGTTTTTGGTCGTGGGGATGTTCATCCTTGGTCTGGAACTAATTCCTCGTTCCTCATGGCCAGATTGTTACAGTTTATCGGCCCATGGTTTGTGTCCCTCCATGTCCATGCTTACATGTCTTGCATATCATCCGTCCATGGGTTGACTCCAGTAGTTTCGCTTTGCGCGCAATGGCCGACGCGGTCGCGAATATGTGTGAGGTCCCGCAGCCGACGCAGGCGTACAGTTTGGCTCGCAGCGGCTAGCGCAGTCGCGAAGGCAGGAGGATGAAGATGAGAAGGAGGAGGAAGAGGAGGACGAGGATGTGGACGATGAGGAGAGGGAGGAAGACGAGGAGGAGGAGGAGGTGGGATCGAGGATGGAGTGAAGAGGGGTGGAACGGGAAGGAGGAGGAGGATGGGGACCAGTGTAAACCCAAGACGCATCAACGATGTTTCAATGAACCCTACTCTAACTTCCTTCTTACCAGGTCCCTGAACGAATCGATTCTCGTTGCGGGACGTGGCACATTGGAAGACAATCGTCCGGGAGTCCTGAATCGTGCTAAAGCGCCGTTCTTGGGACTTGCGCCCCGACAGTCCCAAACCGTGCTGGAACACCTTGCCTGGGCTTGCATCGCCGCGATTCAACATGAATTGTGCGCCCTGACAGTGTTACATCGCGAGGCAGCGCCAGCTCTGTGGGACTTCGACCGCACGAACCCTCAGAACCCGCAGCTGTTGCAGACTTGCATAGACCAGCGTGCGTGGTGCTACAGTCAACGCGCATAGTAAGGACAAACGATTTTTTCAAGGGTACCCTTGGGTCCTTGCCTGCCTCAGCCTCTGCGGACCGTCCCTAGCAATTTTCGCTGGCCAGTTTCTCAGGTTCCCTGGGGGTTTGGCCGCCTGCCGCCCAGAATGCTTGAACTTCGGCCTCCAAGGGTCTTGCGTCCTTACCACGCGTCCTTACTACTACAGATTTCGTAATAAAGGGAGGGGGGTCTCATTTCGGGGGGGGTCTCTTCCAAGCTATCTTGGAGGGCCTGGGGGGGTCTGGGGACGATGTTTTGGAGGATTCTCCCACGGGGAGGGGGTCTAAAATGGCTTGTCTTGGAGGGTCCAGACCCCCTCCCTTTTATTATGAAATCTGGAGTACACGTTTTCACTCTAAGGCGAGAGCCACATCTTCAAAAGCTGCCACCCTCCATCCTGGAGGCCGCTGCGCGCTTCTTGGGTGACCGTGCGCGGCGCCGAGGCGAGAGGCACGCACTCCGACAGGGAGGCCGCCCCCCGTCCGTGGAGGCGGCTGCGCGCGCCTGCCACGAGGTGGTGCGCGAGGCGCCGAGGCGAGAGCCCCCTTCTGGAAGCAGCCCGCCCTCCGTCCGAGGAGCCGCGCCGAGTGCTGAAGACGACTGTGCGCGGCGCCGGAGGCGAGAGGCACGCACTCCGACAGGGAGCCGCCCTCCATGCGCGAAGCGGCTGCGCGCGCTGGAAGCGAGGTGGTGCGCGAGGCGCCGAGGCGAGAAGCCCCATTCGGAAAGCAGCCTGCTCTCCGTCCGAGGAGCCGCTGCGAGTGCTGAAGACGACTGCGGGAAACGCCGAGGGGAGCGCCACAGCCCGGAAGCGGCACGCTCCCCAGCCGTGACAGGTTCGCAGAGTTCGAGCTCCAGGATAGGAGGAGGAGGAGGAGGAGGAGGAGGAGGAGGAGGAGGAGGAGGAGGAGGGGGAGGGGGAGGGGGAGGAGGAGGAGGAGGAGAGGGGAGGAGGAGGAGGAGGAGGAGGAGGAGGAGGGAGGAGGAGGAGAGGTAGGAGGAGATAGGGGAGATAGGAGGGGGAGGGAGGGAGGAGGAGGAGGAGGAGGAGGAGAGCACCATGGCGATGTGTGGTGTCTGAGTGGGGGCGCGGGGCTGATCTCGGCCTGTCGCGATTTCCCGCCGCCAGACCATGCCGTGTGCTCATCCCTGGAACCAGGAGTGGAGCGGCCGCGGTCCGGTGAATGGCGCCTCCACGCGCTTCACTGTAGCATCAGAGGCACAGAGAGATTTTGGGCGCCACGGCATTAGTGAGAGTGTGTGTGTGTGTGTGTTGTGTTGTGTTGTGTTGTGTTGTGTTGTGTTGTGTTGTGTTGTGTTGTGTTGTGTTGTGTTGTGTTGTGTTGTGTGTGTGTTGTGTTGTGTGTTGTGTTGTGTTGTGTGTTGTGTGTGTTGTGTGTGTGTGTGTGTGTGTGTGTGTGTGTGTGTGTGTGTGTGTGTGTGTGTGTGTGTGTGTGTGTGTGTGTGGGGGGGGAAACGCCCGGCCCGCCCTACCGATGCGTCCCGGGGTTCGACGGGGGGGAGCTCCTCCAAAGGAAAAAAAGACGGGGGAGGATTAAGGGGGGTGTGGACGGGGCGGTAGGGGAGAATCGGAGTGAAGCTGTGTGAGGAGGTGGAGGAGGAGGAGGATGGGGTCTCCGCGGAGGAGGATGATCAGCAGCAGCACAGGAGGAGCAGCATGCGGAGGAGAGGATGAGGAGGAGGGAGCGGGCAGGAAGGAGGAATAATTGTGCGTCATGAGGCGGGGACATCCATTCTTGTGATGACGACTGTGATGGTGGTGACGATTCTGATGATACCGACGAGGAGGGGGAGGAAAATGAGGAGGAGGACGAGGATGAGGCCGAGGAAGAGATCGAGGAGGATGGATCAGTGGATGAGTGATTGGGCAAGGGGGTGGATGAGTGCGATAGCCAGTGGACGGGGGAGGATGAAGCACCAAGAAGTCCGAGCTCCTTTTTGAGCCGTGTATAGGGGGACCGAGGGACGAAATTGCCCGCAAGACCCTGAGCCTGCTGAAGGCGGCATTGGCCCTCCGACCAAGTTTTGAACCCTGCCGACCGTATCCCCTGGTTCGGAAGTTAGCCCCTTTCTTGAGCGGCATCCACAATATTTACGTTTTGAACCATCTGCTACAGAGCAGGACGTGGTACGCCAAGGACCTAGAGGACCTATATGATAATGAATCGGACGAGGAGTTTTGCAAGGTCGAGCGAGTCAAAGGGCCCCGCCTTTTTCCCATCTTCCCGCCCACATAATCAGGACCAATGTGTGGCACATGGGATCTCAGGATTGAAGCGCGCTCCCACGTTGCAAATGGAAGGCTCTTGCGCGCGGTCCCGCCTCCGACGATTTGTCGCAGAGAAAGCTACGCGGGCCGCGCAGGGGCGGGACTGGCAGATCTTCCGATGGGTGCGGCGAAGACGAGGCATGCGCCGCGCTGACACAGCACTGCTACTTTCACTAACGAGCTGCGCGGCGTTTGAGCGAGGACGGCATTTCACCCGATCTCGCGCGCCCCCGTTGCCGCTGTCATTTTCATGCGATTCGGCGAAAGAACCGTGCGCCGCGCCCGTTCCGGACACCACTTTCAACGAAATGCGCACGGAGCATGGTCGAGAGCGACAAGTTGCCCTCTCGCGCGGGCTTCCCAAAATTGGCGAGTGACAAACACGCGCCGCGTCGAGGCGGGAACGTCCCTTTCGTGCGACATTCGCGCGGCGCCCAGGCGAGAGGTGTATTTTCGCCCGCTTTGCGCGTCGACGAAGTGGCGTGCGAAAGACGCGCGCCGCGCCCCAGCCGGAGCCCCTTCTCCAGAGGGATTGGCGCGGCGCCGAGGCGACCCTGGACCCCACCCAGGGCCCACCACGGCCAGTTTTCACGGCCGCGTCGGGCGGTGGCGGCGAGCGCCTGCAGACCCCGCCCCGTTCATTGAAAAACCACGACGACGTCGACACCGACGTCGTCGTCAGCGGAGTCGCCAGAAGAGCAGCTGCAGAAAAACGATGACAACATAGTTCGGGCGCGTCCACAAAAGGGGGGGAGATGCCTTGGGTGGTAGGGGCATCGTGGCCGGGGCCATGACACCTGTTTGGCCCATTTCTCGGAGGGAAGAATCAAGCAGCGGCGAAGCGTCCCGGCTCGCCTATAGCCCCACCAAAGGATGTTCTAAGAACCTTTTTGCGGTTCCCACGAAATGTTCTTTGAACATGTATGGTTGGGTCTGTCTTGTTTTGACACATCGGGTTTATGTTCTAAGAACATTGTTTTGTTATGAGAACATTCTTTGGGTTCTAAGAACATTTTGTGGCCAGGGCCATGACACCTGTGCGGCCCCTTCCTCGGAGGGAAGAAGCGCGACACCACCACCATCGCCACCACCACCACCACCACCACCACCACCACCACCATCACGGGTGCCACTTTCACACAGAGGAGGCCCACGATGCCCCCTCCGAGCGCCTGGGATGAGGGATGTCGCGAGTGGGGAGGGGAACGACACCACCGGGAACCCAGAAGGACCCCCACATGGTTACTCGCGCTCGTGGTGGTGGCATCGTGCCGTTTTTAATACATGGTCCGCGTGCGGATCATGTATTAGAAATGAAGGGGTTTAGTGTCAAAAGCAACGATGGGTTCATGCATAAATTCATTCATATATTAATCATGTATGGAAAATCCAATATTTTAAACAATCCCATGTATTAAAAACTGCCTTGCATCGTGTTTGTTGTCGGTCCGCCGGTTCTGGCCCACCACGCAACGGCGCGACACGCGATCCACTTCCTGGTCCACAGGCTCCAACGGCCTGAACCCTTTCCGAACAACAGGACCGGCGGAGCGGAACGACACAGCATTCGCTCGCAAGGCCTAAGTGAGTGTCGCCAGGGCCGCCGCCACCGTATCTTCGGCGCGCCCGAAGAGCGGCGGCGAACGAGGGGGGGAAGTGGGAAAGGGCGGGCCTTCCCAGAAGGCTCGTACA